GTGCCCTGACCAGGGAGCAAACCCACAAGCCTGGTGTATCAGAAGGACACTCCACCTGAGCTCCCTGGCCCAGGCTGTGTGATAGTACTTTTTGTTCACATTTGAAGGGTAGAACTTTGGTTCTGTTGTAGCTTTTGAGGAGGATCATTTTATTTTGGATGTGCCAGCCATGACCAGCAAGTCACTGCACTTGGTTTTCTTAAACTTAAGTGATAATTAAGTTTAAGTCTGGGTCATTTTTAATTTGAGGGAATTAAAGAAGTCTTTCCTTCCCAATTCATCACAAATTGTGTTGCATGGCACTTAGTGTTTTTATATACTATTTTGTACCCATAAGAAATTGATGTTGGCAAGCAACTCCATTGTTTGCCCAGGTGTCTATACAATGCACTTAGATTAATCTTTTTTTATTAGATTAATCTTAAACATCAATTTTTTTATTTTGAGCTTTGCTGTGTTAAAATCTATGGCCCATACTGATGCACTTGGTAACATTTGCATTGCATTATATTATTTCTAACTACTAATTTGTCCTGTGTTTCCAGTTGGATTCTAAACATTTTCCATGAATTAAGAATCAATGTCAGGCCCTATGAACTTGACTTAAAAGTATACTTTCTTATTAGACTTGATTAGAATATGCTTTATTGTTCTTTACTGGTTTTAGCATTTAGGTAGCAAAAAGAAAAAAAAAGTTAATTCCTTCTTCTCTCATATACAGAGTATATGTAACCAGAGCAAGACGGATTCTAAATACCTTCTCTTGAGTACACACAGTTTACAACACTGTCTGGAAGGTTGAAATTTTCACCTTGCTGAGATCAGGTGAAATCTGTTGATTTGTTTCAATGAGTTACACAACTGTAGGAAAAAGCAGGGAGAGCAAAAGCCCTAATTACAGTTCCACCTCTTACCCGTCAGCTCAGCTTTCCTCTGCCTGGAAGCCCCACTGGAAAAACCCAGACTGGCAATTCTAGTCTCACTCCTGAGGGGAATTACAAGAGAAGGCATGAAACACTCAGTGCCAGTAAGATGAGGTTGTTTTCACAATGTCAAAACTGCCTAGTAAGTGGACTTTTACAATTGTGCATTTTGTTCATTATGAATTGTTATTTCCTGGATAAAATTGAAACAAGTTAATTTCCATAATTGCTATGACAGTAGGGGTAAATAGGGAACAAAAATATTTTCTTCTGCATGTGTTATTTTTGCCTTTGGATGGCCTAAGAAAGAAATGCTCATATGCTAGAGTGAGAGCATCCCTCATCGGATGCAGAGGACACTCTGACCGGGTCATCGCAGCCTCTTACCGAAGATACTTATGTTTGGGGGGAGATCGTGGAAGAGAGCACCTTTTATTCAATATATACTTATAACATGCTTATAGTCCTTCAACAGTACATGCTACTTGTTTGTGAAAAAAGGAGAAAAACAGTTGAATATCTGCCCTTCAAGTCTTTTAAAGCCTAGAAAGGAAGGTGAAAACATATAATGTATCTAAAAATATGCAAAAAAAGTTCAAATAACAAAAGCCTAAAAACAGCTTTACGTATATTAATGGAGATTTCTATTCCATTGAGAGCTTAAAAGTATTATTAAATTTCTAATGGAAACTTCGAAAATGTTTTTGTGAGTGAATGCCTTTTAGCTGGTTTTCTTTGACGACAGAACACTCATCAGGTGGAGGCTGAAGAAGGAGCCCCTCTCAGGGAGCCCCTTTCCCTCCATGGGCCAAGGCTCGTCCCTGCCATCAGTGCTCTGAGCATGGGACAGAATCAGGGCGACTGCCCTGGTGTAAAGGCTGGAACTGCCTTAAGAACATTACAGGTAAAACGCTCCGGGGAGTCAGGTGTGAGTGACTAGATCTGAGAACCAGGGCGCAGAGAAATGTTATGAATGGAGTCTATGGCATTATTTTATTTTCTGATCTTTTACCTTTCCTTTCCTTTTCTTTTCTTTCTTCCTCTCTCTTTTTTTGCATGTATCAGTGATTCTCACATTTTAACATGTATGAAAGTCACCTGGTAGACTTGTTAAACCACAGCTTGCCAGGACTACCCCCAGATACTCTGGTCCAATAGTTCTGGGTGGGGCCAGAAAATCTATATTTCTGTTTATGGAATTCCTTCCATGCCCTAAAATTTCATGAATACCTGGCCCAGTCAGCCTTTGATGGATTTATGAACAAAAAGAACATTCCTAACAGTTGGCCCTCTGTGAACTTGGCTGGGAAGTATATCATTAAAACCTAGATATAACCCAGAAACTTCACTGGATTCAGTGCTGCAGTCTTTCGTCCAGACACACTATAAAGGTTAAAAAAAGAAAGAAAGAAAAGAAAAAAAAAGAGTTTTTCAGAATTTTTCCTTTACTTAACTCATTCCTGAATATATTGAAACTCTGAAACTAAGAAGCAGAAAATGGTCAAATACATGCAACTGGAAGACGAAAAGGCACGACCGAGTCATGGTAAGTTGGAATCCCTCTCATCAGCCCACCTATTAAGAAGCTGTGCAGTCCATCTCTCCCTCCCTCTCCACTGCTCGAATTCAGCAGCTCCATACCTCTTTCCCTCCCTTGCAGGAGGGCACCCCTGGGCCTGCATATAGGGTGTCTTTGTGCCCCTACAAATAGAAAGATCGTAAGAAGGGGCCCTGTCCTCTGAGCTGATGCCAGAAAAGCAGGGCTGAGGCTGTACTCGAGTCCCCACTCACTTATTTAGCCGGCACCCTGGTCTAGTGCTCTCAGTGCACGGCTGCGTGGGGCCCAGCACACCCATGTTCACCCATCTGGTGCCCCATCTGCCCCATCCACAATCCATGCCACCAGGATGATCTTCCTCGAACTCTGTTCTGATAGCACCCTGGCCTCAAAGTCTCCAGTGAGTATCCAGGCCTCACAGAGGCCCTTTACCCCTACACCCAACACCCTTTGTCCTATGAAATGTGCCTCTATTTTCAGCTTCTTTTCCAGCCACCTTTGCTCATAATTCTCAAAGTTCTAACAAAAGAGCTACTAACAGAACCCGGACACGCCCCATTCCTTTACGCTTGTGCGGCTTGGCACACACCATTGTTTAGACCAGAAAGATTTCCTCCTACCTTTCCCCCTGTGTTTGCTTGGTCCATCCATTCTTTTAAAAAATCATTGTAGGGGGAAGGTAGGAGAGGGGAAGATAAAATTTTTTTCATGTAAAAGAAATATGGATTTAAACCCTGGTTGATGTGGCTCAGTGGATTGAGTGCTGGCCTGTGAGGGTTGCTGGTTTGATTCCCAGTCTGGGGCACATGCCTGGGTTGCAAGATAGGTCTCCAGTAGGGGGCACATGAGAAGCAACCACACACTGATGTTTCTCTCCCTCTCTTTCTCCATCCCTTCCCCCTCTAAAAATAAATAAATAACATCTTTAAAAAAAGAAATATGAACTTAATATTTTAAAACTTAGAAAATGCAAAGAATTATGTAAAAATGTCCATAAAAAAAGAAACTGTGGTTCACATTTTGACATGTGTTTTCAAGGTCTTTTCTGTGCATATATATTTATGGATCATATTCAGTTTGTATCATGCTTTTTTTTTCACCTACTATTATACTGTAAGCTGTCTTTGTATTTTAATAAATTATTTGAAAACATTTTACACTTGATCTTAGCCAAAAGGTCAAGAAGCGATTGAAAACATTTTAATGGCTGTGTAATTTTCATATATTTTGGGGTGCGTATATGTATATATCCAAAGAGTTTGTTTCATTCTTGTTTTCATCATTTAGATGGTTTCCTTTTCATTTTTTTGAGCTATTATATATAATGCTGCAAAGAAGAGTTTTGTGCATAACTACGTCAGCCCCTGTGATTATTTTCGGGGGGAGAATTCCGAAGTGGGGTTACTGAACCAGTGGAAGAGAACACTTGTAGGCTCTTGCTGTACACTGTCAGGTTGCTCTCAAGAAAGGGTGGACACGGTCAGACACTCACCAGGGGAGTATTCATGCTGCTCTAACCTCATAACGGCCTCAGTTTTAGAGAGTCATGCCTTCTCTTTTTTGTTTGGTCTTTGAGCATTTTATTTTAATTTTGCATTTTTCTGATTACGCAAGAAATTTTTCTACATGTATTAACCATACGTATTTCCTCTTATGTAAATCCTATCTTTGTATCCTTTGTCCAGTTCTCGACTGAAGTCAAAAATTCCTACTCATTTTAAATACTTGACTTGAGAATCTTCTCCCTGAGAAATCCTGCCAGTGCCCCACTCACCCCTAGTGGAGGCCTCTCCTCTTCTAACAGGACTGTGTGCGGGTCCGCTGCTGGGGTCTCCATCCTGCGCCATGAGCGTTTATGAGCCGGTCTCTCCCACCGCGCACGGGCCAGCTCTGAGTCCCGTGTCTTCTTCCCTCAGCACCTAACCCACTGCCGGGCACAACGTGTGTGTCATTTAGACTTAATAAGCTAGTGAATAAATCAGCGAAGATCAGTGAATAGCTGAGTTTTTAACTTACCATGAATTTCATCAGGATAGCACATCTATATTTTGTGTTAAAGAGAAAGGACCTAAATTAAGTCCTTGGATAAACCTATGCTGACTTGACTGAAGTAATACAAATGCTTGTAAACCAGCCTATTAAACTACCGAGACTGAAATACTGCTGGAACTGTTTATTCAAAAAAGAAAACTAAAACCTTTTTTCAAAGAAAAATAATTACCTCTGCTCAATATTATAAAGTTCTGTTCATTGATTTGTCTGGGACCTTTTCAAATTACCTTAACAATTATCATAACACACCTTCCAAAAGGAGAACACAAAAAAATACTTCCTCTGACAATATTTACTTACACATTAAATATACAGATGAGAATTAGAGTTTAAAAATGACTGCATTTTTCATCACATCATACTCTCAAATTATAACTCATATATTCCTAACTTGGCCATTTCACAGTGTTGCTATACAAACACACATACCTTAATAAATTTTAAAAAATAGTGGCTATATATATATATATATATATATAATTTTAAAAAACAACACACACACATACACACACGTGTCTGGGTTAACGCCATCACTGATGGAAACCTGAGGGGAAGATGGGACCTGCTGCTGAGCTGGCCACAGGCAGGTCCCCTTGTCTTTGGAAGGGGTGGCTGCATGGGGTCTCACCTCGGCTCGAATGTCTGCTGTCCCTCTGAGTCCGTGCGTGTCAAGGTGCGAAGGGACTCCGGGGGTGCTGCAACCCCGCCAGTGGTCCCCATCTGTCCTTTCACCGAAGGTGAACGTTTTTACCTGCACACTGGGTTTAGGGTCTCAGGTTTAGTTTAACAGCTGCAGCTGTGTTTTCCCCACTTTCTCCTTTTGGTCATAGTGTTGCCAACCTTTGTAAACATTTAAATGTACAATTAAAGTGCTCAGTTGTGCTTCATCTGAGCCCATCCTGCCCCAGTTTTAAACGTGCAGAGCTGTCTGCAATCTCAATAAGCTCTCATTGTCTCTGTAAAGGGCAGAATGTGGCTGTTAATAGGGAGATGTGAAGGTCATTGCCAGTACCCTCAACAGAGGCTGACTGAGTCCTGGGGGGGGTGGATTTTCCCTGTGCTGAATTCCCTGCTACTTCATACAGCCACAGGTAGTAAACGTGGCTCTCTGGTTAAGTCTCACACCACTGTCTTCCAGGAAGCATAAACCATTGTGCTCCCACAAATCCATTAATCTGGTAAACCTGTAAAATGCAGGTGCCAAAAATTGAAACAATATTTTATAAACACTCCCAAATTTTGATACCTACTGATATCTTTGCCTCAATACACAGGAACCTGGACTTCAAAAAAATTTTTTTTCTTCTCTGGGTGGTGGGCATAGTCACACCATGTCTTATGTCTGCTTATTTATAACTCTGCCTCTCCACGTGACTCAGTGATACCTCCTGACAGCAGCGGGGGAGGCCCCTCCCCACCCTGACTTGGCTGTATTTCACACCTCACTTCTCTGAGGAGCATTTAAACTTCAGGCATGCTTAGACCATTTGGCAAAGAAAATTAAATTTTGGTAAAACATAAACAAATCAGCTTTCACTAGAAATAAATAAGATAAGAAATTTTAAGAACACTCATCATATCATTGTAAACAGTCACGTTTCTACTGGATTTTTAAAAAGACCCAGAAGTCCCAAGACCTCTCGAAAACATTAGGGACACCAAGTACAAAGGTTGGAACAATTACTACAGAGATTTTCAAACGGCATACTGCAGGAGGGACAGGGCTGTGCTGGGAGAATTTTTAAGACATGCCGTACCTGACTGTTGAGTTAGGGGCATTGACTTCTCTTCCTTTAGATTGTTAAAAAAAAAAAAAAAGACAACAGCCAACACAACAATAGCTGTTCAATATGAATGAATCAAAATTATACCTATTTTTTGTCAGCTCGGGAAAAAATACATTTTTTGGTGTGCTGCAGAATTTTAGTAATTAATTTGTGGGTGTCATGAGATGAAAGAGATTGAAAACCACCAAATTAATATCATTGCTTTAAGACTTTTAGCAGCATTTAAAATATATGAAATTTTAGTTGTTTTTAATGAAAAACAACTAAATGAAATACCTTGAAATGAAAAAAATGTACCTAAGTGGTTCGTTAATATAGAGTGACAATACCTTGTTAAGATATCGAGTACTTTTGAAAATAGATTTAGATGTTTTGTTATGGGAGATAACTTTTAAGGATTTAAATTGTAAAGGTTCTTACAAAAATGTTTGGAAATCATGGTTCTTTGAGAGAAGATGTGATACATGTCTCAGCTTACCCCAGACCGTAAAGCATTGTCACAGACTGGATTCCATGTTAGTTCGGCAGGAATTGCTATGCCAATTTCTATACCTAAGAGGCCTGATGAAAATCTTGTGAAAAGACATCCGAAATACTGATGTTCTGAAAATGATGAAAATCCAAGGGTCCACAATTGAGATCACGGATATAAAACGCAAGGCGCGGAGGTCTTCGACCTCTTCAGAGGTTCCGTTGTCCTTGGGGACGGCTTCAAATGCTCCGTGGTAAGCACGATACTATTTTAAAGAAAAAAGAAATCCTTATAATACTGAAAGGTGGATGGAAACAATACATTCTCTTACTTCACTTAGGACACATTACTTTTCTGTAAGAACATGGCAGCTCAAGTTGGAATATTCATTTTTCGTCTAAGCAGCTAAGGCTGCTGCAGCAGGTGGGTGCAGGTGAGGGTCCTGGAAGGGGCAGACCTGAGCTGGGAGTCCCAGTGGAAGTGGGGGACTCCTGGGAACCCCCGTCGAAGTCCCTGGAGTCTGTTCTACCTGCTGTGGGCACTGGAGCTTCTGGGTCCCGGTTTGGCCCTACAGAGAAAGAGCTGAGGTGGGACCAATTCTGCCCACTGAATCCCTTACAAACAAGGTCACCACACTTCCATAAATACTGAGATCATCTTTCCATATTCTCTTCAGTTCCCCTTTTTTCTTCTACCTGCTTCCTATCCTCTCTTATTAGTTAGCCCAGGAATAAGTCCCACATATGGAGACATCAGTGAAACAGCAGCTTTTCCTGGATGTGAAGAGACAGGAAATACTCCAATGAAAAGACAGGAGACTTTCAAAAGGACCTGGTTTAACTCATGTAAATTACTTATTCTCCCCATAGGTGGTTACCTTTCTGTGGTCGTCACCCTTTTTTCAGGCTAGGGGAAAAAAAAACATGCATGGAAATGTAGGCGTACTTACCTATGCCCAGTCACTCCTCTTGTCTTGATCCCCCCTGAGGTCTCTGTGGCCCCCCACAGAGCCCTGGGAACTGCCTCATCCCATGGCTTTGCCTGCCATCCAGACAGCACTTCTGCCCAGCCCAGCACTACCACTGCCTCCCACTCCGTTGGAGGCCAGCCACTTTTTCCTGATGCAATTATATTCCCTGTGCCTACTGAGAGTCTAAATCCATAATGGGACAAAATGGAGTGTAATGGGACAGAAAATATGCAGACTTAACATCAGCGGGAGGGGATATGAATAAGTGCACAAACCAAAGGCACTCAGGGCAATCAAGAGATATCTGCTGGAGATGTGTTTTTCCATAGTAATTGTATCCTTACCTGTTTATACTCTTCCACAGAGCACTTCAGCAGGCTCAAGTACTCCCATCTAGTGCGCTTAGGAAGACATACCTTAACTGGAAACCCTCTCCCATTATCATTGCTTAATAATACTAATAGTAATAATAATAACAATAAATAATCTAATGCCCATGTTCCCAGGCCCTGTTCTAAGAATTTTACTTCAGAAACTTCATCTCTTTTTTTAACATTAAAAAAAATGTGATTTTTTTTAGACAGAGAGGAAGGAAGGGAGAGAAGGAGAGAGACATCAATGCATGGTTGCTTCTCTAGAGCCCCCTACTGGAGACCTTGCTACAACCTAGACATTCGCCCTGACTGGGAATCAAACTGGTGACTCTTTGGTTCACAGGCCAGCACTCAATCCACTAAATCACACCAACCAAGGCTGAAAACTTCATTTATCCTCACAAAAATCCCATGAAGGAAGTACAACCATTGTCTCCATTTTACAAATGTGGAATCTGATTGCATGCCTCAATCCTACCTCCCTTCAGGATCAACCTCAAACATTCCCCCCCTCCCCAGGAACCCCCAGTAAAGTAGAGTCTGAGCACATCAGCTTCAGATTCTGACTCTTTGGATTACACAGAGTCCTCTCACTGGCTGTGTGACTTTAGGCAATTTATTCCATTTCCTCATCTATATAATGGGTATAACTGTACTTACCTTCCAGGATTGTTAGGAAATTTCAATAAGATAATATGAGTAACACCTTTATAATAGGTCCTAGCATATAATTACAACTCAATAATTAGCTATGATTATTTTATCAATTAGGAGTGACTCCTTTCCTTCTCTAAACTCCCTTATGGGCCTAATCATTCCCTCCCACCCCAATATTATAGCTTATGTGGCAAGATGTGTGTTTTTTTCATTTTATGTCTCCACAGTGACTTACAGTGTTTCGAATGTGGTACATAATAGATATGTGTTGTATAGATAAATGGATGAAAATAAGCTATGTGCTTTAGTTGATTTAAAAAGCAAATATGAGTTTGTCTTTACATTTGCTACTTTCTCCTCAAGGTTAAGTGCAACAAAATGTAATTCCAACTATTTTTAAATGCCTGATTAGCTGGGATCCATATAATTTAATGGTACTTATGTAATTAAAAGAAGTAATTTTATTTTTAAGCAGTTTTTGTCCAAGCCAACCCTATTGTATATTATTAGGTTAATTGTATTTTCAAGTTACCTGATTTGTAATAGAAATATATTGATCTACACCAGTCTTTTAATTTAATGTAATTTATTTGTTTTTACATTTTGAGTTTACTAAAAATACGACATTCATTTATGACAGTGATTAAAGTACATATTCTATTAATTCTTAAAAAATATAAATTTGAACACAATTTAGACTTTTGAAAAAATTTCCGTTCACCAATAGTATTCTCTGGAATATACTTTATAAAGTGTTTCTATAGGAGAGGCTAAGATAATGAATAACGTCAGAATATGCACCTGGCATTTTTTAGGTATGTGGATTTACACAGAGAATCAGTGTGAGTAGAGCGCCCTCTGTTGGAATTAGGAGTCCTCGAGAAAATGTTACTGTTGCCAACTCTGGAACCCTCTCTGGTCGCAATATTCCGGTTTTGGAGAGCTCCCTCAATTCTAAAGTCCTCGGGTATCCAGCCCAGCCATCGCAATACTCTGTCCTCTGCTCTAGCCCTTTAAATCCACTTCTGACCCATTTCCCTGGGCCCATCTTTTGCCTCCCATTCCTTGAGTGCCTCTAACAACCTCCTTTGGAAGGAGTATCCCACGCATTCTTTCTGCATCAAAATGAAACACACACACGTGCACAGAGTTATCTCAACACATACCGGGTGCCCCCTAGCACTTCCCTGACTCCATGGACTTTGCTCTACACAATTACTTATCTTAACCTGCCTTCTAGACCACTCGACTCTTCTATATATGAAGAGATGTCCAGATTCAATAGATCCAACTAAACCATACATGAATGTTCTCTCTCATCCACCCCTGCTCCTTACCAACCTGCAATACATTGTGGTTTTCTACGGTAAAAGTAATTTTGATGAAAATATGATATCCACATTGAAGAATGTGCTGCAAACTTCCTGTAGAGCTCCCCCCATATTTACTGCACTTTCTTCCTACTGTATCAAATTGGAAATTTGAAAATTCAATCGGGTTTAAGTATTGTGCTCTAATTCAGCATTACAGCAAAGTTAATTAAAAAAAATTATACTCCAAACAACTTTTCACCAGCTTAATGAAATACAATATTTATGCTATGGAATAAGGTTTTTTTCCCCCCTCACTAAATCCATTCCTTGAAGGGTGAGTTTGAAAGTGTGGAGGTCTCCAATACCCTTCCGGTGTGTCAGCAGGGTCAAAAGTATCTTCATAAAAAGACATTATTTGCCTCTTTAACTTTCACCCTCTCGTAGGCGTACAGTGAGTTCCACAGAGGTTACCTGATGTGTGATGACATCGTCCCTGCCGTGGCGAATGGAATGTGTGCTTGCGTATCCTTGTGTTTTCTAGACCTTCCCAAGGTAGTGGTTCAGGAAATACATATGTGCATTTTCAGAGATTATTCTCAGTACTTCTGTGTCCTAAGCATTTTTCCTTCTGTTTTACCTGCTATAATCTCTGTACTTTATTATCATTCATGTGATATTTTTTTGAAATCCCAGAGTTTTCCTGACACCTTTGCAAAAATACAAGAAGTATATTTGGTTAACTTGTTTTGCAATAATATTTAAAATTTTCCTTACTTTTTATTTCTATTATGATAAATACTGATACACATAATTCACATAAACTAAAGCTCTTTGGGTCCTTAATAATTTTTAAGAGTAAATAGTGGTCCTTAGACTAAAACAAGTTTGAGAACCACTGCCTTAGAATATAAAAGAAGGCTATCTTCCGGACACACCATGTTTCTTCATTTTCTGTGTCCAACAGAAAACGATGATAAATGGAAGTAATGATCAGTGATAATAGTGACACTAAATTTTTAGGTCAGGTACCTGGCTAGGAGACTATATATATATATATATATATATATATATATATATATATATATATTCATTCAGATCTTTACAACATCTTACAGAGCAAGTATGATTATCCTCGTTTGAGAGAAATTGTGGTTACAAAAGGTAAATGAGCTGTGATCAGAGCCGGTAAGTGACGCAGCATGAGTCAAAACCCTGTCTGATGCTGACTCCCTTATCCTTTCTAGTAAATGGGTTTCTGTGGAGAATGCTGCCTGCATTCCACATCCTTGGAACTTTACATGGTTTTTAGGAAATCATTTTCAAACGCATTATTTCCTCCAATCCTCACAATCCTGACTTATTTAACTCCCCTTAGAGATGTGTCCAAATGCAATATTCTTTCTACTGTATTACGCTGCCTTTCTGCATTGTTCTTCCTAAAACATTCAAACTCAGGATATAGTATCACTGCAGTATCACTATGTATCAATGATACATAGTATCATTGGCCGTTGTCTGCTTCTGTCACAGGACAAGTAAACCAGGCTGTTGCTTCAGAGCCGGGATCTGCAAACATGCTCTGGAGAGGCCTAGGCAGCAAATGCTTCCCATTTTATTAGCTAAGAAGCAAAAAGTGAATGTTTGGTGGGTACTTAGATGAGGATAAAAACACATTTCCACAACTTTTATCGATCAAATTCAAAATGTAATAATAATAGGGTTTTTTTGTAATACATGTGTAATAAGGAGAATAAAACTTTTTTCCCTTGGAATAATATTTGGTTTAATTGGGGTTCATGTTTGCATGCCCTATTATCAAATTTAATGCAAATGTTCATTTGTAAAAATGTTCTTAACTCCATGACTGTACAAAAATAGCAGACAGGACAGACTTGGCCTGTGGGCTGCAGCTGGCCAGCGCCTGCTTCAGAGTGTGGTTCTCCAGGTGGGATCCCTGGATCAGCAGCTTCCCCCTCACCTGGGGACTTGTTAAGAACGAGAATTCCTCAAAAGCCATCTGAATCAGAAACTCTGGGGAATGGGGCACAGCCATCTATGTTTCTAAAAGTCCTGCTGATGATTCTGAGTGTAGTAAAATTTGAGAACCACTACTAAATAGCTATACCTATACCCATTCTATTTATATAAATATACATTTACTTCTTTATTTTGGGGAGCTCTGATGCTAACTCTGCATGATGAAGGTACAACCTCCCCCCGCCCACCACATTAAAGCCTTCATTCGGTGGAAAGTCACATTATATTTCACTTGCATCCACCCTTGAGAGTAACATCCAAAATTGCTCTGTTGCCATAAGAAACTTAGCTTTCCTATTCACAGAAGTCTCAAGACTCCAAAGACCTTGAATTGGCAATACGTTTGTTTAATGTAGTTGTCCACGTGGAACAAGTACGGGGCGGGGGAGGGAGAGGTGTGATACTGAAAAAGTTTTCTCAAGCCTCAGCCACACTGCTAGGTGTCTGGATGGGGACTGCAGGAGGAAATACTTTCCAAAGGACGAGGTAATTCAATCTCCATAACCATCCTTATTAGTAAATTGAAACCTTAGATAAAGGCTTCCATGTCACCTCGCTTGCCAAGTCAGAAACAAAACCAACCTGTCGAGACAGGTTATCAAAACACCTGTGGCTGCGGCGCGAACTTCCACACCTGTCTGTCCAGACAGCCTCTCCGCCGCTGTCACCACTACTGTCCTCGGCAGCAGCGCCAGAAACAGCATCCAGACTCCTCACAATTTACTTAGGAGTTTGGAAAAACTAAACCTATGCTTTTAGTCGCTCACCTCAGCGAACCACTTTTGGCAGGACTACACCTTTCCCCATGCCCCTTCCGTGCCAAAATGTGGGAGAACTCCTAGACTCCATTCGACTATTTCTGATGTCATTAGAATAAAACATTAACTAATCATCGAGAAGTAGGAGAGGGCTCGTTTTGCCAAAGAGAAACCAAGTTTTATTCCTGAGGGGTCTGAATCGCAAAAGTAACTCCTATTTCCCAGAGGGAAGCAGAGAGGAGGGGGCTGTGCCGACTGGACAGGTTTCGCGGGGCTACCGGTATGCGGTCGGACTCGGTTTTCCCTTTGCTTTCTGTGACTTTCCCTCTTCTTGCTCAACAAATTGGGTGATACGTCCTGGGGCTGAGGAGGGAGGGAACCCGATGTGCGGAGCGCAGCACCAAGCCCTCCTGGCCCAGGGCGCAGCCTCTCTTGCACCACATCCAAAACGCTCCACCCTTCCTGCCCCGCACCCGCCGCAAGACGCGGTCCAGTCCCCCGCAACCTTGGCAGGGAGAGACTCACAGTTAAAGGCAAGGAGCACATGGTGAAGAGCACGGTCATGAGGGCCAACAGCAGGAGGTGATCCAGCTCCTCCAGGGGCGGCGGGGACGCTTCCCCTTCACTGGCGCTGAGTTCCGCGCGGTCCCTGGGGACGGAGCGCCGGCGCTGCCGCAGCCGCCGGTGCATCGCGTAGAGGTTGCGCATGGCGCTCAGGTTGCACAGCACAATGGCGAGGACCAGCAGCGCCAGGATGCTGGCGTAGAGCACCGAGTAGCCCAGCACCGACGGCGAGCGCTCCTCGTGAGCCATCTGGATGAAGCACCAAGTGCCGGGGCAGTACTGCACGAACTTCCCGAAGCCTGCGAAGGGCAGCGCGCAGAAAGCCAAGGAGAAGGCGCTCACGACGGGCGCGACCAGCGCGCCCCTGCGGAGGGTGATGTACTGTCGATAGAAGAAGGGGTGTCCGAGGGACAGCCAGCACTCCAGGGCCATGGCCAGGAGCTGCAGCGTGGAGGCGAGGCCGAAGAAAGACATACTAAAGGCGAAGGCTTGGCACAGGGAGCTGCCCGGCGTGGACACCAGACCCCACAGGCTCCGGTTCTGCGCGTAGGCTGCTAGCACCACGGGGCTCACGAGGCACTTGCCCAGTAAGTCGGTGATGGTCAGGCCACACACCAGAACGTAGAAGACCGAAGGCGCCTGGCGCGGCGAGCGCAGCGGACACGACCCCAGCCCCGAGCGCGCCAGCAGCCCCAGGGCCAGCAGGTTGCCCAAGAGGCCCGCGCTGAAGAGCACCCAGCCCATCGTCGCCGAGTGATCTTTCTCCACTGAGGTGGTGTTTTGGCAGCGGTAGAACATCGGCTTCATGGTGGGCAGCACGGCGGGCTAGAGTCGGGGCTGTGGGAGGGCCAGGGCTCCGGCGTCCCGGTGCCGAGGAGACCCCGGCCGCCCCGGGTGCGTCTCGGGAGGAGAGGCTGCGCCACAGAGGAAGCTGCGCGGGCCACCGGGTTTCCCGAATGCAGGCACCTCCTATCAAACTCTCGGGTCACACCCTCCCCGAGGGGCGGGACGGGTGGCCAGCTGTGCACCCCGCGCTGGCAGCGCGGAGCGCGGAGCAGCCGCAGCCAAGCGAAGAGCCCGGCCTGGACTCTCGGGGTCCTGACCGAGTACCCCGGTTAATTCTTTCAGCAAGGCAAGAGGATGACGACAATGGAGGGGAAATTAAGCAGCAGCTACTAGGGAGGAGGGATGTGGGCGGCGGCCCAGAAGAACGCTGAAGATGAGGGCAAGGGAGAGGCCGAGAAGGGGCTACCACTCAGTGTTTGGACTGGTGGGTTAAAAAGGGGTGCAGAACAGTTGCATAACACTTAAGCCTTAGCTCGAATTCTCTTCTAGATTCGTGTCCCAATGAACGTTGATCTTCACTGCATACCTGAGGAAACAGTCTTTGAAAGGTTAAGTGATCCGCCCAAGGTAACCAAGCGGTAAGCGGCAAAGCTAGACCCGGAACACTGATCTGCTACTGAAAGAGTTCATCCTTCTTGGCTTCTCCTCCCAAGAGTCTGGCCAGACTTCGGGGAAGTGGCTGCAGGGAAGACCGAGGGAGATGTTGGTCCTGGGTACCAGGCATCGCAGCGATTGTGTAGACCAGGTGGGAGGAGCATGGTTAAGAGCATTAATGCTGTCTGTCATCAGATAGACGGCGGTTCAAGTCCTAGTTCTGCTACTCACTGCCTGTGTGACCCCGAGGGACTTAACCCCTCTAGAAATAATATGTAGCCAGCCTGCGTGGCTCTTTTGTGGCATAGGGATAACAGGGAAAGTGCAGGCACATAAGAGTCGTTTGGCACAACGCAACTGGGAGGATGTTTTAGCGAGGCTGTTTTAGTAGCTGATATTTAACTGCAGTTTTTAGCTTGGAATTTTGAAACCAGAAAATAGGAGACTCGATATAGAGCTTCCTCACTCTGGTTTGTGACCACTAGAAAACCTTTCTTTTCTCTTGGCCTTTGACTTGGCTGCCTCACAGAGACAAGGGAGTTTATTGTGATAAGTGTAATTTATTTCTTTAATTATCACGTGATATTCTGGGAAAGAAACTATCTTTGTGTGTGGAATTTGAGTGGGGTAACCGGGGCTGTTGGTACCTGATCAAGTAGATAATGCCTTGGCTTGAAGAAGCTAATTTTGAGGCTCGGTGCTTATTTGGAAAGGACAGACTCAGGGAGAGAGCAGGGCCCTTGAGCTTTGGAGGTGAAAGCCGTAAGGGTGGTCAGGGAAGCTGCCTCCGGACGGAGAGCCTGGCCAGTAACTCTGGCCATGGGGTGGAGATGAAGAGTCCAAGCTTTGCAATTAGGTGGTTCTGAACTTGACCACTAGCTGTGTGACCCTGGGTTAGTTTACTCAATCCCTGTTTGTTTCCTCATAGATAGGATATGGAACTTAAGCTGACCTCATCGTGTTACTGTGAAGTTCAGAAAGCGCAAAGCATTTGGCATAGTAATAATAATAGTAAGAGTGAACGTTTATAGGCCCTTCTATGTGCTGGGTACTCTCTACTCCTTTCTCACCTATTCACTCAATTAATAGAAAGCCTTCCACGCAGTTGGTGCCCTTGTCTTCCATCTTCTCTCCCCCATCCCCACCTCTCACTGCTCCTTCCAGCCCCTGAGGAATAATATGGGGTTAGAAGAGCCTTACTTGAGTTGAGGAAGTAAAAGAAGGAGAAGGTCCTATAACCAAAAGACACGAGAATCTGATGCAATCTGAGGTCTCCTCACCAGATGTATGTACATACACTCACAGCTTAAACCAACCGCAGGGTGTTTGGAGTTCCCTGAAATTCCACCGTAGTGTCCAGAGGAGGTCCCACGACTCTAGATGAAGAATCCTCCTCTAAGGATATTGTAAGTGGTGTTCTCTGAAGTGTGCCCAGTCCAGTTCTCTGCAGCCTTCTTTTTCTTTTTCTGTTACCTCCTCCCTCACACTCCTTCCAAGAGCAATGCACATGGAGAGAGGAGCCCAGGACTGTAAAGAACCTTTTCAAAATCACTCCAAAGCATGACTGAAGGGACGGTTGTAGATCCCTGATATGTGTGTGTATATATATATATAGAGAGAGAGACACACACACACACATACACACATGTATATATACACACACACACACACACACACACACACATATATATATATATGTGCGATGGCTTTGAACAGGTACAATTCAGGAAACCACATGTTTTTCCTGGTCATTGTAGCTGGCATTTACCATGGGTTCCCGGCCACTTTGCTGCCTGCTTTGCTCTTATTCACCATGCCCTGTTCTCAGGCTTAAGTTTAGAGTCTCCTGTCCCTCCTCCTAAGAAATGTTATTTTACAACTTCACTGTTCATCCAAGAAATGTATCCTTTGTTCAAGTATGTTTTGAGCTCTTACTTTGTGCCAGACGTGGGGTGAGGAGTGTGGGCACTGAGGAATACACAGCAAATAAGGGAAGGCAAGTGACATGTTACTGGTCTTCTACGTGGTTACAGATGTTCTATCAGCTTTCAGAGTAACAAGGGTAAGTTTTTTTCTAAGAGGAAAATATTTTTTTTAAAATTGAGATGGCAAAAAATCTCAATTAATATTTCCCCCTTTCCTCTATTTATATTTTCTTTTAATTTTTTTAAAATTACAGTTGATATTCAATATTGTATTAGTTTCAGGTGTACAGCACAGTGGCTAGAATGTTACATAACTTATGAGGCAATTTCCTCTGATAAAGTCTAGCACCCATCTGCCACCATACCTCGTTGCTACTAGGTAATGTCTTCCCTGAGCTGTACTTTACAGCCTCATGATTATTTTATAACTGCCAGCTTGTATTTCTTAATCTCTTTACCTTTTCCTCTCAGCCCCTAACCCTTCTCCATCGGTTTGTTCTCTGTCTTTATGAGTTTGTTTGTCTTGTTTCCTGAAGTGGTGTTGTAAGTGGTGTTGTTCATTGTCTTTTAGATTCCACATATGAATGAAATCATGTGGTATTTGTCTCTCTGTCTGATGCTATCATTTAGCATCATCCCCTCTAAGTCCATCTACGTTGTTGCAAATGGTAAGATTTCACTCTTTTTTTATGGCTGAGTAACATTTCATTGTATACAAGGCCCAGCAGAAACAACACCATTGAGTGTGATTGGTAGGGTACATGGATGTCTCGCACAAGATGGACAGCAATTTGAAAATTTCACCTAAAATGTCATATGCTGTGCTTGAGCGTGTTATTGTTATGTTACAGAATTACCTGTGTATAAATTTGTAATAAAAGATTTGATATCGATTACCATCTCATAAAAAGGGGTGTTATTGGTGCCAGACCCTGTATATTTGCCACATCTTCTCTACCCATGTGTCTACCAAGGGACACTTAGGTTGCTTCCTTATGTCGGTCATCATAAATAATGCTGAACGAAGAACATGGGGGTGCATACATATGCTCAAGTTAGTGTTTTGGATTTCTTCGGATAAATACCCAGAATTAGAATCGTTGGGTCATATAGGTAAGAGGGAAGTTTTAATGAAATATGTTGGGCCCAGATACATGGTAAAATTATCTTCATTATCTGCAGAGCTATACTAGGCTGCTTAATTCGGTTATGAAACAAATCTTCTGGCATAATGTGAACAGACAAATTTGAATATATAATTAAATTGTGATTTTGTAAATGCAAAAACCTGATTCTTGCTTTATAGAGCCTCTCAATCTTTTGTTCAGCCAGAAATTCCATTCTAGGACAACTGTGATTGAACAATGATAAAAAAGAAATATATTTTTAAAAAGAAATTCCATTCTGATATCTTTTGTTGTCAAAGTGAGAGAGATTAAGTCTTCCAGAGATTCTGGGGAATGGGTGTGTCTTGGCCACCTCAGCTGGCACTTCTGTTTCCATGTGCAAATCAGATCACTATCTCTACACATTCAGGAATTGGAAAGAACATACTGTCAATTTAGCTTTGTGATAGTTTAAACTGTAAATGTCAGCATGAAATTTTAAAAATATTTATGGATGGCCCTGGCATGATGGCTCTCTTGGTTGGAGCATCTTCTGTAAACCAAAAGGTCATGGGTTCGATTCTCAGTCAAGCCACATGCCCAAGTTGTGCAGGTTTGGTCCCTAGTCAGGGTGCATATAAGAGGCAATTGATTGATATTTCTCTCTCACACTGATGTTTTTCTCCCTCACTCTCTCCTTTCCCCTTTCTTTAAAAATCAATAAGCATGTCCTCAGGTGAGAAATATATATGTGTATGTGTATATGTCATATATGTATACATGACATATACATATATCTCACATATATTTCTCACATGTGTATGACATATATCTCACATATATGTATATATGGCATATATACATATATATGATATATATATATATACACAAAGTCTGTCCAGAAAATATCTAGCCATGTGCTATGAAAAATGGGGACACTTATTGAAGAAAAAACAAGATACAAGAAACATTGTACATAGGACAATGGTGCCTCAGTCCCCTTCAAAATAGGCACTTGGGGGTTTCACACAGTTGTTCCAACATCTCTTCAAGAGATGTTCAAAACATCTTTTGAAAACACTCTGCAAACGCTGTTCAAAACACTGAAAAATCTTTTGTTGGAATCTGCCCCATCGTAGTTTCTTGAATTTCATTGACAAAGGTCATTTTAGTTTTGGAAAAAGCCATAAATCACGGAGCGCCAAATCTGGGCTGTAGTGGGGTTGAGTTATCTGAGTGATTTGATGTTTTGCCAAAAAACTCTGCGCAAGACGTGATAAATGAGTGGGTGCATTGTTGTGATGAAGCTTCCAATCACCAGTTGCCCATAGCTGTGGCCATTTTACTTGTATTGCATCTCTCAGCCAATGAAGAACCTTGAGGTAGTACTTCTTATTAATTGTTTGGCCTGGAGGGGTGTACTTGTGGTGGAAAACACCTTCCCAATCAAAAAACACAGTTAGCATGGTCTTGATCTTGCTGAGACTTTGCCATACTTTCTTTGGGTGTAAAGAACCAGTGACTTCCATTGGGATGACTGGGCCTTCATTTCCAGATCATAGCCATAGGCCTATGATTCATCTCTGGTTATGGCCTTCATGAGGAAATCTGGTTCGTTGGTAGTGGTTTGAATCAAGTCATTAGCAACTGCAGCATGATGTTCCTTCTGCTCTGGTAGCAGAAGCCACAGAAAGAATTTCGCCACAACACGTTTTATACTGAGATCCTGCATCAAAATTTCAGACACAATAGTTTTAGAATCCACAGATCAGCTTCTAGTCCTTGCATTGTCTGTTGCTGATCTTTGTTGATTGCAGCCGTACACATTCAACAGGTGCTGTGCTTGTTGCAGGCTTCCCAGACATGGATTACTTTCCACGGATTCCTGACCACCTTGAAGCATTTGTGCCACCCTTTTATTTGTATTGCACTCATTACATTGTTCCCAAAAGCCTTCTGAATCATCTGAATGAGAGAGTTTCTGTAGAGAAACGTTCAAGCTTAATGCAAAATTTGATGCAGATTTGCTGCTGTACTTGCTCAGTCATTTTGAATGCAATGGCCACACAGTACACATGCTCACTCAATGGTATCTACTGACTAGTATAGTGAAGTCGTCATCGTTCACACATGCACATTCCCGTCCACTCTCCTTGGTTACATTGCTGCCAGGTTACATTGATGTTATGCAAACCATTCTCATTATATTAACAATGGCTGGACATTTTCCAAGCAGACCTCATATATACAAAACATATAAAATATATACTATATATATAAAATACGTACACATGTATATATCTTATACACACAAGAAGTACGTACTAGTCAATACAGACCCCTTTAGTTAGTGAGGGTGGTAGATGCTGCTGACTGAGCATGTGTACTGTGTGGCTGTCACATTCAAAATGACTGAGTAGAGCAAGAAATCTACATCAAATTTTGCATTAAGCTTGAGCATTCCTTCACAAAAACTAGTAGGATGATTCATAAGTCTGCAGCTTTGGTCAGCTGGTGATTGGCAATTCCATCAAAACAATGCATCCACTTACGCATCACATCTTGTGCAGAGTTTTTTTGGCTAAACACCAAATCACTCAGGTGACTGAGCCCTGCTATAACCCAGATTTGGCACCATGTAACTTCTGGCTTTTCCCGAAACTATAATTACCTTTGAAAGGGAAGAGATTTCAGATCATTAAGGAGATTCAGGAAATGCAATGGGGCAGCTGATAGCTACTGAGAGGACAGTGTGAGGTCCCAAGGTACCTACTTTGAAGGGAACAGAAGCATCATTGTCCTATGTACAATGTTTCTTGTGTCTTGTATCTTCAATAAATGTCTGTATTTTTCCTATTACATGGCTGGCTACCTTCTGGGTAGACTGTATATGTTTTATATATATTTATATATATATTTTAGGGGAGTGTGTGTGTGGGAGGTGACTGGGGAGTAAATAAATGGCACAGTAATACGTTGGTTAATCCAATTTATAGGTTGTGACTGTTCACTGATGACTATTTAGCAGTTTGCTTGTGCTTCTAAGAAAAGTTGTAGGCAGGTGTGGCCAATTTGTTCTCTGTGAAGCAGACTCTGAGATGGGGATTAGCCCGAGGGATATTTATTATGCAGTGCTTTTTGGGGTTAACACCTGTGAAAACGAAGGGACAGAAGCAGGACTGGGGAGAGGAAGTCAGGCTATGACACAGTTTTACTCAAAGGCCTTTACTAGCCTGACTAGAAGCTCAGAAGCTGAAAGAGGCCCTCACAGTTGTCCTGGGTGAGGCGTGATGGCCTTTACACCCCTGGGTGGGCCAGACTTGGGGGGTGAGGAACAGGAAAGGGCACAGGACTTTGGGTGCAGTAATTCTTTTG